CCCCAAAACCCCAAAACCCCAAAACCCCAAAACCCCTAGATATAATAAATAATTGAATAAAATATGGAAGCCATAGAAGAGACTGACATGGATATTGATGGATTCATCGATCAAAATTTACAATTTACTCAGAATAATGAAGGTAGATATTCAGTTTTACTTTAGACATTAAATATCTTGAACAACAATATGACCAAAAGGATGCAACACAAGGAGATCAAGAGTATTATGACCTCTTAGCTGATTTTAAGACAATAGACCCTTCTGTAAAATTTTACATAGTAACAAATCTGGAAAGATTAGTAAGGACATGCTCTCAGCCAGTCCAATCCCAAAAAGTACTGTCTCAAATCACGAGCATGGAGTTTATAAATGGAATAATCGGTTACTCTGAGTTGATTTATGAGTATATAAAGCAAATCCAAGCACTGAGTAAAACGAGCTCTGATAAGCTGATCTACCTCAATGCTTTAGAGAATATCCTCAATGATTCTCTAGAGAGATACATTATTGAAAAGATTGAATGGGCCATCTTCGAACTTATCTGCAGTCTCGGAAATGATGAGCAATTACAAGAACAATCTGAAAGAATTATGAACGAGTTTTACCAATCTAACGTAGTTGCGAAGAAGACTTCAATTTTTATGATAATCACTCAGCTTTATGAAATGGTAAATGAAAATACAAAGCATCAGTTCTCAGAGATCTTCCTCAATGGGGCACAGGGTACTTCATCTGTGATGAAGAGGAAGATATGCCAAAATTTACCTGAGGCTATCTTTATAGAGCCTTTGCATCGTATCGAGATGCTAGAGGAGTTTCTCAAAGACCCTAATGAGTAAGTCTTGAAATAATATATAGGTATGTCAGGATAGAAGCCACTAATGCTATCTCAAGGTTCTATGATGCTAAAATCTTAGATTACTCTAAGTTCATTGATATCCTAAAAGATATATTCGAAAACCCAAGGGAAAAGTCCTGGAGAGTCAAATATTCTCTGATAGAAGTTGTCTATAAGACAATAAAATAAATTAAGCATTGAAAATTTGAATGACCCAGCCTTTGTTTCTTTCCTGCAGGTCTATTTTGAATTAGACAATGAAGAAAACAACGCTATGCATAATATCATCGGAATTGACTGCATTTTTAGCTGGGCTCAGAGAGTATTCATGAACAAAGTTGACGAAAGTATCAATAACAAAATTGCTAGTGGGAAAGAAAGCTCTAAATACTCAAAAAGCTCTCAGAATAACTCAAATGATCCTCTATTTCTATCAAATATCGAACATTTCATTCTTTTATGAGAGCAGATGATAAAGTTATTCTCGCACAAAAATACTCACTATCTTGTAAAGCAGAAGATATGTTTGGGTATCAGTAAGATTGTGACTATCCCTGTATCGAACAAAGATCTGAAATATATGTACTCAAAGTTGCTCTCTGAGTTAAGGCACCAATTCTTGAAGCATCCAAATAAGTACTCGTACCTATTCAAAGAGTTCTTAGATGACTTGAATTCCAAGCTGATGCACTTTAAAGAGGTAATTTACTGATAAATTTTTAGGAGAAAACAGATATTAAGGAAGCCCATGGGAACTATTTCAATATTTTTGATTGCCCTCCAACTCAGGAAATTGAGAGCAAAGAAAGCTCCGAGCAAAGCGCATCTGAGATTTATCAGTAAAGTTTCTGGTTTATGGGCAATATAGGAGAATGATGATCAAGAATTTCAGAAAAATAATCAGACCTGAGCTTATAGAGTTAGTTAGTAAGCCAAAAGTTGAAGAGAAGTGGCTGAATAGGATTAGTATACTCAACCTCATGACTCTTCTCCTCCAAGATGAGCTATATGCCACTATTGATGAGTATCTTGAAGAACTTACTAAGAAGCGTAAGCCATTGCTTATCATTTTTGTAGAAAATGAGGATAAGGAGATGAAGGAAAATGAAGAAATTCATGACCAAGATGGTGAATCACCTAAGAAAGAGCCCCATCTAGATGATTTTATTGAATCTTCTACAATATTGCAGTATTTTGCTAAGAAATATAACGAAATTTGCTCTCAGAAAGTAAGCCATTTATCAAATTTAGAAGGGATACACAGAGATTTTAGATAAAAATGAGAACAAGGATGCTAATTTAAGTCCCCAAGGTTAGTCTAAAGTCTTTATGAAGCCAACTTTGGGCCAAATAACTCTTGCATTTGTTATTTAAAGTTTGCATAAAGGCTCAGTCAATAAAGCTAAACTATAATTCTCTTATTCTAGAGTGGAGGAACTTTCTTCAAATTCCCAAAGCTCTAATATACAGCTCTTGAAGCTATTTTAAATTCTAAATACTATTATATAGTTAATGTGAACACTAATTTGGTGAACAAAGAAGCGATTGAAATAGGTACTTACACCATCCTCATTCTGTCTAGTCCGGAAGATCGAGATGAACAGTTACAAATATCAGAACAAGTACTTGGCTAGGGCAAATCAGAAATTTGTGCAGAATTATATCAAAAAGCCAATGGAGGTTTCATAATCTAATTCAGTTTAGGTAAAATATCTCGGGGTTTTGGGGTTTTGGGGTTTTGGGGTTTTGGGGTTTTGGGGTTTTGGGGTTTTGGGGTTTTGGGG